AGTATAACCATTTTGCAATATTCTTTATGGGGTCGGGGGCCCTAAAATTGTTTTTTTTTCTAATAAAAAAGTTATAAAAAATAACTTAAAACAGAACTTATGCATGCATGATTGGAATTGAATCAAATACAAACAGCGATATTTACATTTCTTTGTGACATAATCTAGTAGGTTTCTGAATTTGTACAACCATTTTGCTATATTCAGTTTTGCACCGAGGGCTCTAAATTTCTTTTTTGTTTCTGTTACGGGCTATTTAAATATAATTTCCTTATGTGTTCCTATACCATTCATATGCTTGCGATGAAGCTTTGGTGAGATGTTATGTACACGCCCTTTCTGAATAAGTACAACCATTTTACAATATTCCGTTTGGGGCCGGGGGCCCTAAATTCGTTTTTTTTTTTTTATGACCTTTAAAAAATATAATAGATCGATGGGATTGAATCAAATACAAACTGGGACATTTAAGTTGGTATGTGACATAATTATAGGTTTCTGAATTATTACATCTATTTAAAATATTCCGTTTGGGACAAGCAGCCTTAAATTTGTTTAAATGTCACAATCAGTTATGTAAATATACTTTCAAACATGGCTATTGCATAGGTGGATCAATCACTACTACTGTGTGGACTACATTTTGAACATCTAGTCTTCTCACATGGAAAGCTGTGTGTGGCCTGCTCACGTTTCCCAAAAAAAGTCTAATTTATTAGAGTACGCATCAGACGGTAAAACAAAAATAGTGTCAATGTTACCGGCAATGTGTGAAATCTGACATTATTTAGAATGCCTAGGAGTTATATAGAATGCCTGAAAATTGTAAGCAAAGTATAAAATGGTTTATTTTTCACACATTTCTTAGGCATTATATGCCATACCTAAGAGCGCCCCGGCAATGCATAGAATACCCCGCCATTTATGTATGATTCTTTGCTTGGTGGTGACGTGGCGATCGCGACACACGTGCTCCACCTTTGTGAGGCATGTCAGAAGAAACAAAAAGGTGTCAAAAGGGTGTTATATTGAAGCCTATGATTTTTCTGAATTCAACTCCCGTGGTGAGGTCGATCTTATCGATTTTAAGTCCCATTTGATAGGGAATATACATTTATAATGGTGTATCAAGATCATCTCACAAAATGTGTGGTTCTGAGGGCTCTAACATCAGAGAGGGCGGAAGAGGTAGCCTACACACCAGTGGAAATATTTACGTTGCTTGGAGCTTCATCAATTCTACAGTCCTGGAAACTCCCAATAATGTGGTGAACAGTCTATAGGAGTAGTGGCCCAAGTTGAAGATCGTCCATGGTAAACCTCGCCACTCACAAAGCCAGGGCAGTGTCGAAAGAGCAAATCAAGACATCGAAAACATGCTATGTGTTTGGATGCCAAAATAAATTTAAAAAAACTGACCACTGGGCTGAGGGATTACGATTCATCCAACTTATGAAGAAAATGGCCTTTCCTTCTGGGATTAAGAGAATTCGTTATGAAACTCTGTTTGGTTGCAAAGCTAAAGTGGGCTTCGAAACGTCTTCCCTACCCTTTGACTTTTTGCAAGACATAAAGACTGAAGCAGAACTCGAAACAATAAAATGAAGGATAAAAAATACACTGCAGGAAGAGGTAAATCGTCATGTGCAAGATAGAGAGCCTACTACACAATATACTGAAGAGAATGCAACCAATAATAGAGGAGACCAAACTGATTACGACACCATGGTTACCGAAGAACCTTCCACTTCTGATGTTTGTTGTGTGTGCTTAAAAGAAAGCAGCGGTGCCCATACATGCCGAAACTGTCACCGTTATGTTCATGTTTTTTTGTGGGCATGCTGCTAAATACGATGGAGACGAGGAAATAGAACGTTATGGTGTTGTTTTTTTTGTTCCATTTGTGTTTCAAGATGAAGTGATCTGTAGAGGCAAGAAAAGAATCTAAATTGAACCTTGAAATCCAGGCCAAAAAATGAAAATACGGTAATCTCTGACAAAAAATTCCCTCCTGCAACTTTAGGAGCCACTGAGCAAGTTCCAAATCCTGGCGTTGACAAGGGACGGGCTGACTCGCGCAATCTGTTGGCAGGTGTTATGACAGAGACTGACGACGGCTTTTACCGACTTGGAACTGCAAAAGGAATCTTGAAACAATTGTATTCGAGATCACAGTTCGATGTATTTCAACTTATTGAGAGTTGAAGACGTAACTGCCCATGAAATACCTCTCCGATCTGCTGCTATCTCTCAGTCAACAGAAGTGGTCATGGATTCGTGAGGTGTATGTGCAAGACCAGGCGCCAAAACATGAAGTGTCTTTGTTTGAAAAAGAAAATGAAATGTAATTCAAAATGCCACTACCGCCTTACGTGCTGCAACAAGTAGCTCGATGCTGTCGAACGGTTGCTCTTGATGTCCTGTGGTCATCCACTCTTCTGATTCAGACGCTCAACCATGGGACATCCTAGTACCATACACACCAATGTAACCTACATAAAACACTGGATATATCGATATGATTTCAATGTATAATTTTAATATGCCTCGTCAAACGTGACAAATCAATGTACTTCACGAATACAACTTATCAACGTTCCACTTCACGATCAATCTAGCCGAATCCTCACAAATAGAACAAGCTTTGTCTACCAACAACAAATAAAACTAACGCGTCATTATATATATATATATATATATATATATATATATATATATATAAGAAATTTTATTAATTTAAAAAAAAAATAATCAGAAGAGTTAATCCTAGAAAATATTTTATTGATGGATAAATAAATTCATATGAATTACCCACATTGTTTATTAGAACATTAGGTTGTTGAAATTATTAAAATATAAACGAAAAAAATGTTTAATTGGAGTTTTAAACAAAATTTAAATATCAAAATAAATTAAACCAATACATTAATTTAATTTATGCTTTAAATTGTTTTCTGAACATGTGTGGCGAAAGCTTTGTCCTCGTCAAACTAAGCTGACAGTGGTTATGGTTTGGCTAATTGGTATAAGACAGCATGGGCCCCCGCAGGGGGGGGGCAAGGGGGTCACTTCCCCCCCCCCCTGGGTGGATTGGATAAAAAAAAATTAGACAAAAATAGACAAAAAATGTATTAAAGTAAAGAGAAAATAAAGAGAAAATAAAGAGAAAGTAACTAAGCTGATGTCCTGTCCGTTCGTTCACCATACAAATAAGCCACATTAAATTAAAACTATATTAAAACATTTCTAAAAATGTTTTGCCACCCCCCTGGAAAGTTAATGAATTTTTTTGCCCCCCCCCCTAGAAAGTTTTCTGCTGGCGCCCATGTAAGACAGTGACCCTTCTTGATGATTTGGGTGTGAGGGTGACTAGCATGGCCTTGATGGTAACATAAAAGTGCTGCTTCAGATAGTTATGAGCAGTGCATTTTTATTTGTGTCACTGAATGCTTGAGTACACCTTTTTTTTGTATCCGTGCGTCACAATGTCACGATTGTATGGAAATAGCAGGATGAAATAATGATGCCTGGATTTTAGTTGGATAAGCTTGTTCCCAATACAGCAATCCACCCCGACCCCACCCCCACCCGGTCTTTTACAACGCATCTGAATAACTCAAGGAAACATGTCGTGTGCACTTGTGTTCATGAACTTAAATTCATATCACCTTATTTCCAACAATAGTTCTAAATTTAGTAATAATTTTGATTTTCAAGTTGATAGGTAATTAACATTGGATGGTTAATAAATACTGATGGAGAGAAACAATTTGAGATATATTGTCAGGAAGTTTCTAGGCTAGTTTTAATCTTACGCTTTAGGAAGACTATATTGACTTCATTAAGACCATTTAAAATTGAGAGAGAAAAGGGGAATAAGAGACAGAGAGAGGGGAAGAGAGAAGGAGAGAGAGAGGGAGAGATAGTAGTGAACTAAATAACTATTCTGAATATGTTAAGTTTTCGTTGTTCACTTTTGTTTTAGGAAAATAAATGATGTGTGTCGATTGACTATGTTTTAAAAATGTACTTCTATAATGAAGACTTGAAGTATTGTTAATAAATGCAAAGTGAAGGTGTTATATAACAGCTTGTTTACATAATTTTTCTCGTGCGTGCACTCTGATGGACCCCCGCATGATACGCTGTGTTCACAGATGGGTGTGGCTTAGTCTTTTGATCTGTCGTGTTGATGCCGAAAGCCACTAAAAATAATTAATCTGTTCAAAATAGTATTTTGTAGAATAATTGTGATTGTTCTAGAAACGTCATAAGTCTTTCTGGAAGGCAGGGCACTGTTTACAACGAGCCAAATTAAAATTAAAATAAGAGATTAATTTCTCCCCATACACGTCAGAGGGACATTTAAAACTGGAAGATAAAATAAACGTGAACCGTCCATCTCAAGGAATTGCCAATTCTGAAATGGAATTCCCAATTTTATTTTTAATTTTGTCTACGTCTGATAGCTAGCTTCTACGTACTTTGTCACACAATTGTTTGTTTCAAAATAATCTTTCATTTCATTTCATATTTTTAACCCACTACATGTTACACATCAATGGAGTTTTATAGGCAGTTTCAAATTTCCAATTGTTATATTTTCTTTTTTTTTGCATAACAATTTTATATATTCAAATTGGTTGAACATTTTTCAAATGACGTCATGTGATTCTATTTCACTTAAACTTAAGACTATAGTGAAAGTCATTTAGCACAATTTGTTTAGTGAATTCCAAAAATAAAACAAACATCTATTGTTAGTCTTTTTTTTAGTAAATATTTTAAGTGCGTGGACTAAATTTATGGATAATAGTTAATGTATGTATGTGTTTGCGTGTATGTGATTTCGAATGTCTTTTCATCAGTGTGTTAAAATTCCTTTAATCATGTGTCTTTTGGTTGTGTAAATGTTAATTGTATGTGCATACTAATATGTGGCGTGTTAAAAGTTCATATTCAGCTATATTCTAATTTTTATCAACAAATATAAATTAAAGATTTCCTACATGGCGAGCACGGCACTTCAAGCTCAGAGATTTGTAAAAATTATCAATCAACAACTTGATGTACTGAAGGAAGAGAGGAATACTGTTATAAGGGCTGTAGACCAATGTATTAATCAGGTTGATTATTTTGTTAGTATATATTGCATTACAAATAATTTCACATAACCTTTGTATTAATTGTAATCATAAAATGTATTTAAATTAAATTATACTATGGTTTTGAAAATAGAAATATATACTAAATAGTTTTGAATTCAAACGAAGGTTATATACTTTTTTTCTAAACTCGTAGGTAGGATTCCTAAAAGACAAACATACATACATCAATACAAAACTAGTTTATTTCATTGTCAACTTAAATATCGTGCAGGTACAAAGCGAAGTAGATGTCTGGGTTAATGAAGGGCTTGTCAATCAAACAACTTGTGGCGAGATGAGCAACAGAATTCAGAAAGTTATATCATTGCTCATTGAAAAGTATGTGGAGCTTGAAGGTATTTTATTGTAAAAACATTGTTATGTCCATAAATGCGCTGTATATTGTATCAATTATTTGATAGAATTAATGTGTTTCCTCTTGAAAAGTATTCCGAGACGTTAGTTGACTGTGTCAATGATGGTATGTCATAAAGTATGCGTAGACATCAAATGTCATTTTGTTGTCTAGATAAGCCTACTTTTCATTTTTAGTTTCCCTTTTGTAAAGAATATTTCTATAAGATAAGTGAACCATTTTCCCTGAAGCTTGGTGAAAAGACGGAGACACGTTCCCCGGAATTTGGGATGAGTACTCCGAAGAAAACAAAACATGAGATAAGGCTTGCCTGTGCTTATTCACAACATTAACGTTGGAACTGTTTTCATTATGCCTAAGATAATGGCGCTTAAAAAAAATCCTTCCTAAACATAAAAATGATAAAATGAACACATTTTCTCATTAAAATCGGTCGATATCTAACATTTTAAATTATCTACATTTCTGGAAAATTCTAATCCATCCTGCTAAAGTGGATAATATTACTTTTTAATTCAACGATATTTCATTATCGACTTTTAAGAGCTTGATTCTTTAGTTTTGTCTAGATCCATCCATTCAAGCTTGAGTGTAAGTTGGTTATTTTATATGTATATATATATATATATATATATATACCCCATAAATTAAATAAAATACCATTTGAAGGCCTAGGATATCAATTAAAAATGTTGTAAAGTTAAAAACCGTGTAGTATTTCATTCTTTCTGAAAATGGATGTGTGTGCAAAGGTTTTCAAGATCCATAACACACCTAAAAACGTATTATGAACAAAAATTGTATTTACATATGTCTTATTAGAAAACACAAGGGAAAGTAAAAAATTCCAAAATGCACCAATAATTCATTTGGAATAATGATTGAATAATGATATATACATACACAAAGTAGGCAACGTGACAAAGCACGCTTGCGTTATTGCAACAAAGCTACTCTTAATGCTTTTCTAATTAGCATCTCATTATCCCTTTGTTATCTTCGAATATGTGTGTACTTTTCCACGAGGTTTGATTACAAGATGTTCAATATTGCCCGCCTACGTGCAAAGACTCAAGTAAAACGTTAAACTTGGATCACATACGCAAGATAAAACCCACCAGCTTAAACCGAAGATTATTTGAGCCATTCTCAAATTTATGATTGCAGGGAAAATTTTCAAATTGAAAATTGCAACACCGTTTCAGAAAGATGGCAACTTGCCAAAATCTTGTAGCGTTAACCACCTCAAGGGATTAATGTAACGGAAATATATTTTCTAAGATTGCTAACAGTTTCTAGTTTGAAATAATGTATTTTAAAAAATTAATAAATTTTAAAAGAAATTCCTCATTAATTCTTACAAAATGATATGTAATAATATTGAGTCTAAACATTGTTTTAATTTTATTATTTAACTTTATACATCAAGGCAAACAGATTGATGAAAATTAATGTGATTTGAACCAAATATTTTGACAACTAACAACACTTTGGCAAGTCCCGGGGCAAATTTAAAATTCAATAATGCCGAAACGGAAACTTTGGTTTGTAAATATGAAACCGTATCTAAATTAGGTAAGATCATGTTTTTTTTTAAAGTGTGTTGTTTGTGTTAAAATCAAATGATATTATTTTGATAGTGCCATGGTCTTATCGCTACAATGTGCTGTTTGAATTTTTTTTTTAGAACCCATTTAAACAATTCATAGAATAATAATATGCAATGTATATTATAGAAACTGGATAACATAAGTTTGTCGCATCAAAAAAATGGTATTATGTACGAAATAATTTAAGTTTATGTTTCGAGTTAAAACAACAAACAATAAGAAGAAACCAACGAATTTGAGAGAACCCTAAATTAATTTTCTCTGCTTCCAGCTGCTTCTTGTACTGAAAGTAATCTCATGTTTCTTTTTTAAATCTCTATTTATTGAAAGGTGTAGCGGTAGGAACTGATGCTTCTCATAATATAACGACGAGATTTGCCATACTAGAGGAAGCTGTGTACTCTCTCAAAAAGACAACAGAAAAAGTTGAAGACAAAATAGAAAATATTGATAAGATATTAAAAGATGTCTCGACTCAGCATGTAAATGATCATACAAAAATTGAAATTTTAATAAACGCAAAATTGACGTCTGAGAAAAAACTTAGGACTAAAATGACGGATCTGGGGAAAAGATACCAAGACATTTCATCCAATACTGATGATTTGTTTGAAACTGTTTCAAATGTTGAGGAGAAGTTAAACAGATTAGAATATGAAAATAATTCCGCGAATGCCTCAATGAATGAACTCAATGAACAGATCAGCTCTGTTAGAACGTGTAGCAATGACGCCCTTGTATCTATACAAGATTTGTCAAAGAGCGTCGAGAGTACAAATCAACATTATAATGAATTGTCTAATAAATTGGATCAACTGGAAATCTCCATTAATCTCATGTCATCTCAGTACACGGAGCAGTTTGAAAATATGGGCAGTCTTAATAAGGATAAAGCAGATGATTTGGTAAGCTTTGTAATAAATTTTAAAAACATATTTGTTAAAATAAAGAATTGTTGCTATTACAAATTTGTTATGTATTATAAACTCCAATTTGTATTATACATTTTACTTGAAATTATTTTTCTTAAAAATAAATGCTATTGGAAAATATTTTCATTCTCACCAATATAATGTGCGTAGTTAGGCCAAATAGTAACAGTTCAATAAACATTTAAAATAAAGGTTTAAGATAACAGTATTAAAATTTAAGGTAATTCCAAGTTCTTTTCAAAATTATATTTGAAAAAACGCTTCAAATTAAATTTAATAATACTAATTAATATTGTTCTGATGGCCGAGTTTTCGCTCTTTATGGCCAGATTTATTATGCTAGCAACTGGCTACTTCAACATGATTGCGAATGCAACTTAGTTTATAATAGGACTTATCTTTGCTCTGGACTATACAATTGCAAGTCACCCTGTAAAAAATAATAATAATAGTCTTCTTATTGGCTGCATGAGAAGTTGATCCCTTCTCAAAACTAACAGTGTCTTACCTAATAACAGTGTTTTACTCAATAAAAGTGTCTCACACAATAACAATTCTTAATTAATAACTGTGTTTCACGCTAAAACAGTTCTTACGCAAAAACTTCAGCTAAAACAACACGAAAGAAAAGTGAAAAAATCCGTAAAGTGTGTGTATGGGAGGGGGGGGGGTCACAACTTTCCCAGATATATTGTAAAAAAATGATGCAGGTCAATTTAAAGAAATAAAATAAAGTATATCCACTGATTTATTATTTTCGTATATAATTTTCTTTTTTAAATTCACATTTAATTGTAATTAATTTATTTTTAAATAATGCCTTACAAGAAATCTAATTCCAAATATGTTATGTATTTAATTCATGAAAAGAAATAATTCTTAAACTACAAGTAATGCCGAACATTAAACACATATCATTTAGTGAAATATATAATATTTAATGAGAAACATAATATCTTTTAACAATTGCCATTTGATGGTAGTGGATGTCTCTGTGATGAAACATTCATGTTGCACATATTGGTATGGTTTGTCAACTGCTAGATATTGTGCTATACTCAAATTTTGTTAAAAATATGAACATTTTTTAAATTTATTTTTTCCTGTACTGTTCATATATATTAAATATGTAATTTTTTTTTCCCAATCATTCATTTACAGAAAGATTCTATTGAGAACCGTGTAGCTGAAATGTCTAACAAAATTACGGACATTGGTAAGAATTTGAAGAAAATCAGGTCAAATTAAAGTAAAATGTATACATTTTACACTTATGTTTAATAAACTTTTCCCCCCATTTATTTCATGAATTACAGTGATAATGAGATTCCATTTTTTTTTCTAATAATCCAGAAATTCACAAGCACATTTGATATTTCGCTGAAAATCTTGAATTCATTTGTGATATTTTTTTTCTGGGTTGTCCGTGTTCTTTAGGGGGTCTTTAAAAAAAAAAAATTACATCAATTTAGCTTTTATTTCTTTGTCTCTGGCTAAGTCCCCGGAATTCTAACTGACACACTTCCTGTCGTCCTATCGAACTGACACTTGCCACATAGCTCCGTTTCCGATGCTAACGCAATTACCAAATTTTCCACCCCACCTCTCCCCCAACCACGGAAAAGAACGTGTTTTCCTATTTATCATGAGGAATATTAATGAAATATATGCGTTCAATGTTTGCATGTTTTAATGTGGATATTAAAAATGTAGCTATTGCTGTACTGTGGATTTGTGACGCATTTGGGTTTAAATTTATATTTAGTCTCTTAGTCTTTTCATGCAATAAGTTTAATAAAAACCATTTCAATAACAAAGATCAGTTGCTACAATTACATACGTTAAGTGTATTTATATCCATATATATATATATATCAACATATATATATACATATATATATATTTGTCGAATCAACCTTAGCAATCCACTTTCTGTTTAGCTAAAGCTAATTCATTAATTGTGTATCAAATGCTAAGTATTCAACTGGAGATTTTAATCGTATATTAGTTCGTATTTGGTATATTAATTACCATAAATGATGTGGAAATATGAAGTTTTTAAATGAAATTATTTAAAATGTGGAACCAATCCTGTAGCCCGGAGAAAGAGGAAAAAAAACAAACATCAGTGTTAGACCTTGTCAGTGTCAAATATGAACAACTCATGTACAAACAGCTGGAATGATTGGAAACAATTTAAACCTATAAATATCACCAACCACGTAAATGTACGGAAAACTCTACAGAGATGAAAGACTGCACACTTGACTCTGAGTTAATTATGGCTTCATTTAAAGATTTTAAATAGTGGTAAACTCAAGTTCTTTTGTTGAATTACCAAGAGTAATAATGTGTGTGTGTGGGGGGGGGGGCATTGTGTCTGGGCAAGAGGGAGGTGATCTTTTTTGATAAAAAGTGATACAATTAAACGAAACAGGAATCACAAAGTGACATATTTGTAAGATAGTGATAGTTTACTAATACCCAGTTCAATATCAAGGAAACTTTTAAGGCAGATTTTGTTTTCTAAAGTAGCAACATAGCATTGTATGGGCTTTCACCTAAATTCATTGACCTATGCTGAGGGTGCCAGTGTTAATATAAATGGTTTTTCGCGCATTTTCTAGATGTCACACTTTTTCTGGTGATGCTAATTAAATAAATAATATTCTTTTCATTTTGTGTTTTTGATTGTTATAAAGTAAATTAAGAGATACCATCACTTTAGTGACACTTGTAACAAAAAATTAATTCAAAAACTTTCATACGTTTTTCATTTCGCAAGTCTAATCTTATGTTTTGGAATGTGTAAAAAAAAACAAACATTCTCTTCTTCTTTTTTTATATTGAGAATAAATGCATTTTTAATTTAATGTACACTTTGTGCTGGCTTTAATTCTTATTTATTAGCGGTGGCACTGCGTGCATTTATATAATTTATGGTTATAAAATGATTATTTCCCTCTTTCTCACAGAACTAAAGGTCAACCTACCAAAGGTCGGATTCTGTGCAATTAAAAAACAATCCGAAAAAGCGGGATTGTGCCCCATATCATCGTACGATCAATTAGATCGTAACCACGGAGGTCACTTTGATCAAGCGACTGGAATATTCACTGCTCCTCTCAATGGCTTGTATGTAATCACCGTTAAAACATTTAATCAGTCTAAGACTAAAACACGTACATTCAGCTGCTTCAGGTGTCAAGATAAGTTAGGCAAACTGAAACTGCTTCATCGTGTTACAATAAACCAAACAGTAACACGGTGCGCTGAAATCGCAGCTGGTGACAAGTTGTATTTGGAGTGGGAAACAGTTGATGAAAATGATAAAAACTGCATCTTTATTTATTTTTCATGTTACATGATACCGATGTGGCCTTAATTAAAGTTATTGTCTGTTGCATTATTATAACAATACTGAAACAGCACCAGCTACACTTTGCAAGTTGTTTATTGGTTTCAAATATTAATAAATTTTAAAATGCAAAACATTTATTGTTAAACTGGTCTACCATTTAAGAGGATGTCAGATATCTACTGAGTGGGAGACAGTTGAGTTTTAATAAATTACGAATTGCTTCAAAGTTTAACCAGAGATATTGCAAGCATGATTTAACCATAGCTTCATAGAGACGGATAAAAGTCGTAGTACATTTATTGAAATAATTCCTTCACCTTGACTCTTTTAAAAAAAAATCTTTTTTTCTTTTTCACCATTACTACATAGCAGCACCCCCCTTCCACAGCGATTTTCACCCCAATCCATGCCAAGTTACCTGAAAATTACAAACGACTTGTCTTTGAATGCCAATGTCTTGTTACATATGAATTGGAAGCTGGTAGAGTTCAAAAGCTAAATATGTCTTTGATATTTTGACAATATTTTAATCGTTTGGCATTTAAGAAGATAGGTTTTATTTTGTGTTTATGTTAGACTCAGTAAAAGTGCATTGGAGCGATTGATGTCATAGAAGCATGACATGACCGCCAGGCTTTAACAATTAGATTTTTATAGAGTTGTATTTTTGTGGAAAAATGAGTTTTGTGGTTTTTTAAATCTTTTTTTAAAAAGTTTATCGGTCTTTATAATATATTCCCATTATTTCAGGTTAACAATGCCAGTCGTGAGTTGTAAGAAGATTGTAATAGGTATTTGAACAACGTTTAGAACTGTCAATGTAACTCCCCTTCATGCTACATTTGTCACCACAATGCGGTACCTTATTTGACCGTGTACATAGTGTGGCCGTTATTAAACGCTAACACTGTACGTGCTCTAACAATATATAAATGCAAGCAAATTTCTCGAGGCTGATCTGAACTCATGCAACCTGCAAACATAATAGCTGATATTTAACGAAGAAGACACGCCTGAAATCTTTCACCACAGTGTGCTGTATACGTTAATTTTCCCTATTGTTGTAAATGTTAATTTCTTTGTAAAAAAAGGTTGTTTAATTTTAATGTGCTCATTTAGTTCTGTTTTCAAATGTCTCTATATAAATAAAAGTAAATTTACAAACAGCCTCATTAAACTTTCCTTATATGTTTATGTCTTTTTGTAACAGTAATATGTCTGATAAATCTACCCGTTATGGATACAATTCATTAATTGAGTACGATAAATGTATATCTTGTTGTAACTATGTATTAATTTAGTCTTCTTACCTTCAATAGTTATCGTCTCAAAAGAAAGCCTTATATATCTACACATTCTACACATCACAGTTGCCCTTTCTTACACTTAGACAGTCAGTAAATTGATTACTACCCATCATTTTAAACTCGTGCCAACAATTGAGAAGCACTGATCATTACAATAAATGCAACCATAAAAAAAAAAAATTAATGGTTTATATTTCAAATTTACATTAATGTAAATTATGTGCTTTAATCTAATACGTTATGCGTATGTTCAGTTGTATATATGTTCACGTTTCACGCCACCTAGCTACAAATAATATAGTTGAAATATTGTTTAAAAAATGAAACTGCTCACTCAGTTTGCAATATTCATCACTAGACTTTAGATTTTTCAAAAACTTAAAATAATTTCTAAAAAAAACTCAAAAAAATTTCTAAAGCTTTAGACTTATATATAAAGAGCACGGAACATGACATCAAGAACCTCTCTTTACCTCCACTCCGGAAATCCAATCTTTCTAAAAAAAATCCCTCGCACTCTCTAAGCTGCGCAGTCGGAAAGATATCGTCATCAAACCAGCTGATAAGGGGGGAGCTGTTGTGGTGTGGGACAGAGATCTGTACATCAAGGAGGCTCATAGACAACTAGAAGACAGCCAGTTCTACCAACCGAGGACCAACAACCCTATCACCAAACATAACGACATGGTGAAAGGGACTATCAAGAAAATGATTGCAGAATCAGCGCTCCCCAAATCGGCATCTGCCCTACACATCTTCGATAGTGACCTCGGTAAGCCATGCTTCTACCTACTTCCCAAAATTCATAAGTATGGTAACCCTGGCAGACCCATTGTCTCAGCATGCTCTTGCCCCACCGAACATATCTCGGAATTCCTTGATGGAGTTTTTCAACCCATCGTTGCCTCACTGCCTACTTACATTAAGGACACCAACCATGCTCTTCAAACCTTTGAATCCATCATAATCCCTCCTGAAAAGAAACATCATCTATTTCTTCTTGATGTATGTTCTCTATACACTTCCATCCCCCACACTGACGGTCTCTTAGCTCTCAAATTCTTTCTCGAGACTAGACCCCACCCATCTATACCCACCAACACCCTCCTCAGATTGGCTGAACTAGTCCTCACCCTCAATTCGTTTGAGTTTGGTGGCCAATTCTTTGACCAAATCAGTGGTGTTGCTATGGGGACTAAAATGGGACCCAGCTATGCTTGCTTGTTCATGGGGCATTTCGAACACTTGGTCGAAAGCAGCTATACTGGACGCCTCCCTGAATTCTATAAGAGGTACATAGATGATGGTATAGGGGTCACCACTATGGAGAGGAGTGAACTTGACCTGTTCATTAACTTTGTAGGCTCCTTTCACCCCTCCATTAAATTCACATCTCTTATCTCTGAGACCTCAGTCAATTTCTTAGACATTACAGTCACTCTTCACAAAGACACC